CTCTCTCTCTCTCTCTCTCTCTCTCTCTCTCTCTCTCTCTCTCTCTCTCTCTGTTTGCCGCGTGCTCTGCCCTGTTCCTCCCAGCAACCACTCGTTCAAGGGAGAACGACCCTTTTGCTGGTCTCGTCTCGGTCTCTCTTTTGAGCATGCACGGCGGCCGATTAACGTCTTCGAGTGCCGATAAACTACACTAGGGCCACTTCGCTAGTTATATATTTTTTAAACGGATGGGAAATACGTTAATCGGTTCTCCCGCTCGAGGGTAGATCGGCATTAACCCTTTAATTCTAGCGATTTCGAGCAAAGAGTGCGAGGGGGCTTTTAATTGAGGGGTCTGTACGCGAAACGAACAAACGACCCATCCTGGAAAGAAAAACGAACCGGAAGATACATTTTCTAGCTTCTCCGTGTATCTTTAACATTCAGGCTTGCATCTTCTTTGTAAGTTCTTCTAAGTTGCGGTAATTTAAAATCAAAGGGAATAACTTATAAAATCATAGGCTAAAGGAAGCTTGAGATAAGTTCTCCATGTACTCGTCGGCCTCGAGCGCGGAGAGAGCAAGAGGGGCCAACAACAGCGAGTAATAATAAATAACGTCGAGGAATTTCGTACTGGCCTAAATTAATGTCTCCATTAGATAGGAATTAATTCGTGACTTCCAATTATCGCAACATTTTCCATTTTCCTTTCGATACATAATATCACGCGTATAATCATTACGCGCATATTTATAGCCGGGGCAAAGCAGCGACGCGGCAATTAACATCGAGGTCGCCGGTGGAATTTTCGACGGTGCTCGGGTTAATTATTCCGCGGCAATTTAGCCGGTAACGAGCCGGCGCGGCGGCGGCGGCGGCGGTGGCGGCAATTGGGTGCCTGGCAGAATTATTGTAGCGACGTGCCCGCCCCGAACATTTACATCGTAGCAGCGATACGTAATACTACTCGACTCCGTCCCTAGAATTTGCTCTGCGGTCTGACTGCTCGTGCGCCGCCAGCCGGGTGGGTGACCCCCTCGTCATCATCAATCGCGATAATTATTGCGTCGGTAAACACCCCCGCGTGCAAACGGAAACGGCCCGGCCGCTCGTGCGGCCCGCGAACACGCGGCACTTCCGCAGCCGGGCGTGCGACACGATTAAACGTACGCTCTCGACATACACGCGGCTTTTGGAGGACGTCACCAACGCGGTAAAGCCGCCGGTCGTCGCGATATCAAAGACGGATTAAGGAAGCGAATCGTCACGAAGGCTTATTTAGATCGAACGGTATTCGACGCCGGTTAGATATTACGGTACGAATATACCGTGCTGCAAAGTTTCGCTTTGATATCAAGCTCCTCGGTGAACGTGACATCGACTTTTTTTTCCTTGCAGAGAGCTCGATAAAAATATACCGCGTTTCTATCGCGACCATTTAACACTTGATATGTTTTGCGCTAATAAAATCTCACGTGCCTAAAGTGCGCTTTAGTTTGAGCGAGAATAAAGAATAAAGAATACAAAACCAAGTGGTGTGTTCTTGTTCTTTTCCACCTAGGTTTAAACACCTTCGAATATCGGATAAAAGGAAAAATTCGTCAAAGGCTCCTATCGCCCTTACCGTAACTAATAATAAAGAAGAAATCAATGCCTTTCCCATCCAAGGGACTTTAGAAACACTTGGTCATGTTCTGCCGTTCGTGAAATTAAGACCTGTTCTTTCGATTTACCATACGGAATTACTGACACAATTGTAAGTTGCTCTCTCTCTTTATATTAAATATATCTCTCTCACTCTTTGTTCCTTCCGCGTGCAACACGACACTTTGCGTTAGCCTTCAATAAAGTTATGCGTATGAATACCTGAGTTGAATCACGACTTCGACACAACCAGGTTCATGACATCTACCTATGTAATATACGACGACAATCGTCCCTCACTTTTGTAAATCTTTCCCACATTACTATCGTTAATCTTACTTTGCTTTCTCAATCTCTATACTTCTGACTTCAATTTTTGTAACTTATTTATGTATCAACCCTTAATTAAAATTTGCCTGTAATTTCTTTGTTAGATCACTTGAAAGGGACCACAAGCCATGATCGTTGTGAGTTTTAACATAAAAATTTGCCAGACATGGTCAGGTAATCTTGTGAAGTTGATAAAGAATAAAGTTCGGTTAATTAATTGTTACATCGTCGCGCTTTGTTATCTCCGCAAGTGAGAAGCGTATAAGTGTCGCTTAACTCGGTTTTGCCATTTAAATTTTAGCTAAGAAGATTTGGACTTCAGAACTCTGAAGCGAAAGAATGCGAGAAATCCAGTCGCAATTCCTGACCGGCTGTGGCCTAAATACTTCATTTCGTGTGCACGGCGAGCGATTTCTCGCGAGGGGAGGATTCTCGATTAAACGAGCGAGCGTCGGATACGACGTTAATTCGATTAACTTTGCGGCGGCAGTTTGTTTGCCGTTGGGTGTCGTGTTGCGGGAAAATATTTCGCTGGCCGTTTACAGGGGAGACCGTCGCACAGTCACGCATCACGCGGGGGCGCGGAGCTGCTTTCCTTACAGTGCAAACATACTCCGTTATTAAACCGCGCAGACGTGTACCTTTACTCACTTACCGGCGAGTGAGTAAGAGTCACGACGTAATAAATTGCTTCTCGGGATAAGAATCGGTTGTGCTGTGCGGACTGCTGAACGAAAGCGCGAATCCCCCCTCGATATGGAAGACAAAATTCGAAGAGAAAATTCTCCCCGTGCGCATTAGAGATTTTCGAACATGCAAGACAAATCAATTCATCAATTTCTTTATTCAGTTCCTCCCCCAGTTAATCAATTTATGTTCATTTCTAGCGGATTAACTTTAATCTCGGTTTAACTTCCTCTTTCTAGTTCTAACCCAGAGAACATGCATGTCAAAAAGACATCTTTAAGACGTCTATTAGACGTCTTATGTCAAAAAGACTTATAATTGACGTCTTAAAGATGTTTTTTAGACATGCATGTTCTCTGGGAAGTGTTGGAAAAAGATGGAGAGTAAAGTAAACCGAGATAAAAAGTTAAACTACGTTAGTAGAACTGGACATTAGACTCCTGTTCCGAGATTTCCCGAGAGTTCTCGCGCTCCAGGAGTCCCTAACGGACCGTCTACATTGGAAGTAAGCAGTAAGAAGTAAGGAAACCATAACCAAAGTATGGGCATAATTTTTAAAAATATTTGTAGCACTACTTTGTGCATAAAGGCTAATAAAAAGATTTACCAGCGCAAAAACTATATTCGAATGTGCCGGTAAAACAGATGACTTAAGGATCCTCTTACGAGACGCGTTACGGTCGCGCTGCCACGTGCTGGCCGGTCGAAACGCGCGTTATCGGCCTGCCGATCGTGAACACTCGACGATAAGCGGCGACGCCGCCGCCGCCGCTGGAAACATGTCCGTCGCCTCGTGGCGAATCCTCCCCCGTTGTCGCACGAGGACATAATCGTGCGCGTCCGACAAACACAATCACGCCGCTATAACGCTAGCGTGCCACGCCGTGCACGCGATCGCCCGCTGCACGCGACTTTCTCGAGAGGCAATCGTGACGAGAAGTACGTCACGCTCTTCTTTGTAATCGTCGGATAGAACACGAGAATCTCTCGCCGATCTTTACCGAGCTCGTTTGACTGATCCATTGCTTTCGCTTTAGGGCCTGGGCAGAGTGACTGTCTCCTGAGACAGTGTTTTATTAAAATAAAAATGATTTAGGCCCGGTTTCACGAACGTCGCTTAACTTTAAGCTTAGTTTAATTCGTTCTTTGTCTCTTTCCCATTGTTACTTTAGAATGTGACAAACATGAATTAGACTAAGATTAAAGTTAAACGACGTTTGGTGAAATCGGGCCTTAGACGTTTAAACGCTTAAAGCGATTGCACAATCGTATATTGCCGGCAATGTACGATTGTGCAATGTGTAATGTACAATTTATCAACTTGCACAAATTTTTTAAGCGTCTTTATCGACTACAAAATAGAATATTTCTAAACGCAAAGAGCGTTGTAGACTAGGCTTTAAAGTAACGTACAATAACTGTCTTTCGTCTTAAGAATGCAAGACAGCTATTCTGCTCAGGCGCTTACTCTAGCGAGTACAAGCCTTCGTACCTCTACAAATCTATCGATAGTCGTAAATCGCAGTCGATAAACCTCCCGATAGGCTATTCAGGACTCACCGTTTCTCGGGGAGGACTCCAGCACTGCGGCGACGTGCTTCGTCCGCTGTGGCTGCTCATCGCGGAATTCGAGGCCGAGTGAAGATTCTGAAGGCTCGCGTTGAGCGGCGTCACCGGATCGTCCTCCGTCGTCTCGATGTCGACCTCGTCGTCGGAGTTGTCCTCTTTCTGGTCCGCGTCCGCCGGCCGCTCCGGGATGACCGCCGGCTCGACGATCGGTGGCCCGCGAATCACCGGACGGAACGCAGACTGATGCAGAGGTGGATTGACAGCCGGAATCAGCGGTTCCGTGGGGCTGGAACCGCTTATGGGCGGCGGTAGCGGTCCTGAAAACCGTCAGCGTACGATTGCTACCTAATTCAAGTCGAGTCGATCACGACCAGAGATCGATTGCACAGAAATAGATAGTGTCGTAGATACAGGATTTCTTACGACTTCGATTTTACATTAATAGCTTTATATTTCGGACATAAAGCGTAGAAAGTACGGTTAACGATATTGTATAATTCATTTGCCGATGCCGACTTACCTAACGAATAAATACTTGATTAATATTGTAAATGATAATTATTATAAATATTTAAACTAATCAAACAAGCAATAATAGTCAGGAAGATGTAGCTTCATTGACAAAGATCGCTTCATTCGTTATCAAGTAATAATATAAGCCAGGAAAATGTAGCTTTTTCACTGACAGAGATCGCTTATTTCTGAGGGCAGATTCTTTGAAATAGATTTAGATCTCTACGCTATTCTTCTAAATCGTCCGGTTTTTTTTATCTCGCCTTACCGGGAAACAGGACGGGACTCCGCTTGGCCAACCAGGGCAGGGCGTAGGACGGAAACGCGAATGGGCTGGGTGTCTTGGCCGCGGCGACCGCCGCCGCTTGCTGATGCTGATGCCACACGTAGTCCATGACGAGACTGCGGGACAGCGGCAGGGGTAGTTCGGGGAACGGCGGTACACGGGGATGCGCCGGTGTCGGCACCAGGGTGGGTATCTGCGCGGCGCTGTTCGGCGACGACCTGGGCTGCTTCGCCGGACTCGGCGATTCCCGGGAGCTGTTCGAGTTGCCCAACAAGCGCTTCCTGGTGCCGCCGTTGAACATCGCCTTGACGTCCTCCCAGGCGTGCACCACCTCGTCCGGCGGGCTGCCGGACAGTTTCATGTGCCGGCGCCACGAATTGAAGTTCGCCGCGTCCGGCTGCACGTACTTGTCCGACGGCCCGATACGGTGCGAATGGAAGATGAACTTGTTGGGCGAGAAGAACAGGCCGCAGTACGCGCACTTGATGCACTTTGCGCGCGAACTGTTGTAACGGGCTGGTAGGAAGGCGCCGCGGCAGCCCCAGGCGCATTCGTGGTGAACGGAGAACGCGAAATCTTCGGGCAATCTGCGAGGCATATATTTATACAATTACGTATTAAAGAACGAAGTGGAACCCTCGAACTTTAAGTAAAATCAATGACCTTCCAAATTCTGATGCTCAATAGACGCCTGAGCTCGTGTACAAAAAGAAATATCATTTCCTTCTTATTCCCCTAAATATTCAAGTTTATATCAGTATCTTAGGCCTGGCTGCACCGTCGCTTAACTTTAAGCTTAGCTCAATTCACTCTTCGTCTCTTTCTGAGGGAAACAGAAAGAGACGAAGGGTGAATTAGGCTAAAATTAAAACTTACGTTGGTGCAACCGGACCTTTTATACAGTTGTCAAACCACATATTTTGATAAACGCATTTTTATAAACCACGAAAATTGCTCGGCACTATTTTTCCCTGCAGTTCTTGCCCGACAGGCGTAACACGGTCTTTCGCGGGACTCTTGCAACGTATCGCGGGTTGCCTTGTACCGACCTGGGCGGTGCGTTGTCGCCGAGGAAGGACTTGCAGAGGCGTTCGGCCTCCCTGCGAGTGATCATGCCGCATCTACGCGAGGACACCGGCATCGCGCCGGCCCGGCGGAGTATCTCCAGCTGCACCGGCGTACACTGCACGCAGGTGATGCCCAGCGCTACCCGGCGATTGTGGATCTCGTTGTAGCTGAACTGCTTCAGCAGGGTGTTGCTGATCTGCGCCAGGCACAGTCGCTCCTGGCCCTCGATCACCAGCGACACGATATGGATCCCGTAAAGCGACACGGTACCCACCTGCAACTCCTAATCGGTTTAGATGTACTACGGTGCCCTCAGAGTCGCACTTTGATCTTTTATCTGTTTACGGTGACCGCCGCGGACAACTCTCGCAATTTATAACATCGTTCTAGTAGATGCAGTCGATAATATTAGATCTCTCCCTGCCGCGAGGAGGATACGAAGATAAGAAATCCAAGGCGCAGTTGTATAGTACAGAAGAGTTCTGAATTTGTAGACTTTATATAAAAGTTTCGTTTAAATTGGCCTTTCCTCTCGCGCGCGAGCAATCATTTTATGCTGACCCAGATTTATACCGTTTCTCGAATTTTAATCCATTTCACTTAATTTTAAGACTTACGTTCTCGTGTCTCCGCTTTACCTGATTCTGCTTCGGATGCGATTGTGGTTGCGGTGATTGCGCCGATTTCTGCGAAGAAGTCAGCGGCGGCATCGACAGCACCGCTGGCCCATCCATCCTGGAAAAGAGATTATTACCGGACTGAGCGTCAGATGCTGCAGAAATTGCAATCTCGTTTGTGATAATACTTGGGTCATATTAGATCGAGGTGAAAATTAGACGAAATTTGAATATTGATAGACCAACTGCAAACACTAACGTGTTACGCTAAGCGTGTGTCTAAGAATCGTGTATTTTAATTATCAAAATGTGCATATAGTGCATTTGCGAAAACATAACAATTAAATTAAATTAAAGTCTTCGCAGGTTCTTATATTTCTTCTGCCTCGTTTAAAACTATAGCTTCCGTCGACTTTTCCTACAATCGCTCGAAAAATTGTGATTGTTTTAACAACGTTTTGACAATTGCTTGTGATTTTGCGCCCGGCTATATTGCGTTATCCGACGCCCGGGCCTATTCGACCTAATGGAAAATGCATCGCCGATGCGACGCGACAATAATTTGTCTCTCAGCGCGGTTTTTATCATCATCGGCGAGATTGATTATAATCTCTGATGTTTTACGGTCGCGCTCGCGCGCCCGATAATAAATTCCACGTTTTCCACTCGCGCAGGGGGAATAAAAAACATCCTCCTCCGCTCTTCCATCTCCTCTGCCCTCGTTGTAATTATATTTATTACACTTTATCGATCAGCGCTCTTTCTCCCTCTCGATGTGCCATGCCGTCGCGTCCGGTGGTGCATTCAGCTCAATTAAATCGGGCCCTCCTCGTTTTTCCTCTGTCCCGATCGACTGCCACGCGATCGCCGGCCAATTAAATCGCGAACAGTAACGCGACTTTTCATAACGTAAGCGGCAACGCGCCCTGCTCTCAGACCACCATTTATATTCGATCCCCCTTTTTTTTTTTACAAAAGGGTGGAGGTTGAAGCTTTCCGATAATAATTTCATAAAAGCGGATATGAAAACTGAAGATCGGATTATAAACGACACTTTCAGACTAGAACTAGCCTCGCAAAACCACCGCTTTGCTCATTTTATATTAGGATATGCTCCAGCCTTTATATCAATTCTGATTTCGAAAACGAGCCATTCAACAATTTCGTCAATTGGAAACTGAGGGGTAACAGATCTAACAGTTGATTAAGTGCCTCAATTACGTAATCAACTAATAAGAACTCTTCAATGTCGCCAGCGATAATTAACAACGTCAGTGTCTTCTTGACCATACCTGGCATTTTTAGTAATACAGAAAATTTATTGTGAAAAATATTACCTCAGCCAGGGTTTGAACCTGGACCTTCCTACACTTTAGGGCGTCTCATCAATTCGACCACCGAGACCGGCCCAGGTTCAAACCCTGGCTGAGGTAATATTTTTCGCAATAAATTTTCTGTATTATTAAAAATGCCAGGTATGGCCGAGAAAACACTGGCGTTGTCAATTACGTAATTTTATCTTCTCAGACGTCGCCATCTTTCTCATCTTTGTCCTTCGGTTCATTGTACGGAGCTCACATTGAAGGTGGGTTAATCGGCGGCGAAAGCGCGATCGCGTTTATCCGAGATTCGGAAAACATGTGTGCCGATTAAAAGGTGTGATTAAGTTGTTCTCGTCATCGTTGTCGTCGTCGTTGTCGCTCGAAGGGCCCTCCTTAATTATCGGGCGGTGATTAAGCGAATCCAAAGATCCGCTGAAATTAAACTCGCGCGTTCAAAGCGCCGGTCGTCGTGTTCTCTCCTCCCGCCTCCCTCTCTTTTTCTCTTTCCGTTTCTCGAAAATTTACGGAACAGAATTAAGGACGATTAAATCCAGTTTCTCTCGTTTAACCTTCTTTCTGGCTTCTTTCCGTAATCGGTAATTGGTTGATTCGTTAATTGCGCCGACGACAATGGTGTCCCCGTTGATCTCTCGATTTAATCTTTTGAAAAAAATACATCAAAGTGTCGAGACAACTTCTCTTTTCGATTACAAAGATTTAATTTTAAGGACAAAAGCGTTAAGCTTCTAGTCGAATGTACATTTAACTGGAATCGCATCGGAGGTGCAGCGTGTATTTAAAACGTAATGCAATTCAGTGATTATCTTTAATGTCAGAGTGGAACTCTATACTTTTTACGTATCGTTAAAAAAATCTGTAGCATCGGAGAATTCGTGTTCTCGTCGTGTTTTCATATTTTGTAATTCAAAAGTGCGCCTAATCTTTTTAATCAACGATGAATACCATGCTCATGACAGGTGAACACGACATTCACGACGGGGATCTCCGCGAGGAAATACTTTCGGAGTGGCGAACTGTCGATCGACATGCCCTTGTAATTTTTCTACAAATCAAAGCAACAAAGTATCGCAGAGAATTCGCAAAGAGAGGAATACAAGCGAGAAGTCTTTCTCAAAGAGAACGATTCGCCGGGTTTCACCAAGGAGACTTCCTTTGCGAGGACCGTCGGATAAGGAGAAAAGAAAAAAAAAGAACGGACGCTGAAGGCGAAAATGAGAGTCGGCTCCGCGAATCGAGTTCTTTATCCTCTTAACGGGAGACGGCGAGGAAGAGGCCGAAAAATTTCAAGTGCCTGTAATAAGTGACTGGAGATTTCCCCGGCGTTAGTTTAACGTGCGACAGAGACTTTCGAGAGTAGTTTTGGAAAAATAAATTTCTAAGAGAGAAAGAGAGACGACGAGGAGGAGAAAATCTCATCCCTTTGACAGTGACAACTTTACGATAAACTTATCCTCAAATAAATAGAAAAGTAATATTGCATTATATAAACAACGGATATAATCACAGATAAATACGCGAGCGATGTATAAAAATCGCTTATTTCATACATTATTAATCAAGCGCTTTCGAGTAAACTCTTCGAAAACAATTCGTGATGTAAAAATTTGCGGATAGCGCGTGCATGTTGAATGGCGTATGCTGACTTACTAAAAAAATAATTTCCGGCGCGAGAGGGTTTTTCATGGGAAAAAAAAAATCAACGCGATAGACGCGAACGCGGACGCATGATAAATGAATCATTGCAACGGTCCTGATATACCTCCATCAAATAACGTAATACGAAATTCGGGCGGTTACCCGAATGCGGGTGTACACGGTATAATACGTAATGCAGTTATACATGACTGGAGTTAATAACGCAATGCACATAAGACAACAGAGCGGCGTCGCGGAGAAAGAGGTGGTCGAAAGAGTCGGGAAGGCGGCTCGGGGGTTCGAGGGGGAACGCATGTCGCGGAACAGGTACGCCGATTAGGAGGAGAGATCAAAACGGTCCGTGTCGACGAGGAGAGGAGCGTGCGGGGCACGGGGTCGGGGCCAACCCCCGGTGTTGATTTTAATTGAAAACGCCTCCGCGGAGGAGGCATCGCGCGCGCACGTACACGTATACGTACGCGCGCGTGCCGGTGTGCACGTGCACACGGCGTGTACGAGCACAAATACCGATGCAACCCCCCGACAACCGGAGGCAGCGCGAGAGCGCCAGCGCCCCGGCAAACGTCCCCCGGGAGCCGTGGTACGAGGGGGTAATTCAATTTGACACCCCCACCCACGCTTAAACAAGGCAGCACCCATCCGAGCGTCCTCCCTCGCCCTCCCTCTCTCACTCTTTCTCCCTGTGCCTCTCCTCCTTTGCCCCGTCTCTACCTCTCTCGTTCTCTCTTTCTCTCTCTCTCTCAACCCTCTCGTTCTCCTCGTTCTCCTTCTCCTCCTTCTCCGCGTCCTCCTCCACCTCGTCTCCTCTCTTCGTACCGTGCAAATTAAATTCTCATCCACCGTGAAACAATGTCGGTACCCGACCCGGAACAACCCACCGACCGTCGCGAGTTTCCCGTTTCCATCCCTCGTTCCCTTTGCCGCCCGCGCTTCGGCGAGCCTCGCGGATTCCGTTGGTTAGTGGTCGGATGGATCGGACTCGAATCGACCGCATTAATTACTCGCTACTTACAATTATAGTGCAGGCTGAACGGTCGGTCAGTCGATCGTCGCGACGATCGCGAGATACCCGCCCGTCGACTTATTAGCGAAGGCTAAACATCATTCACATTAGAAGGGACGTTTCGAGAGCCGTTATCTAATTTATGGTGGCATATTATGTAGCTTTGCTTTCAATAACTTCTTCAGTTCACGTTAATAAAACATGTTCTACTATTCCAATAAAGGGTAATTAGTCCTTTTAACGTCATAAGCGAAGTATGGAAAAAGAAACTAATGAATTTTTTCGAGTCTCGGTGACAATTAAATATTTAGCTCCACACAAATGTAATTTAAGTAAAATTTAACAATTGAGCTTGCATTCAGTTGTCAAAATATCGCAGTCCCGATACCGTTATCCGGACACTCGGAAGTTTCGCTGTAATTGTTTCTCGATGAGTCTCAGCTGTAACTCAACGGGAGGACTTAACTCAATTAAATTTAATAATTAAATTAATTGACACGGCACACCATCGCGCAATCTCGATGTCGTAATTGTTGTGACGCGATCGTTCTGAAATGTCACTGCGACGACTTGGAGAGACGCCGGAGATTGCACGCGCGCGATAGACAGACAGACGTGGATGAGAAGTCGCGACGGCGCTCTCCGGATTACGTACCCGCGGGCTCGCGGATTATTTAAATGCAAACACAATGTTGTACCGGGGCGCATTGTTCCCCTCTCGGTTATTTTACAATTCAATCTGCGATCCCGGGGCTCCGCCGACGCGGCGCGGCCGGGGAGGCGACGGGAGCGAGCGCTCGCTCGCTCGCTCGGTCGTTCGTTCATTGTAACATTGTTAAATCTCCGTCCTTCCATCATGACTACCTTCCGTCCTCCTCCCCGGACGCCACCTCTCTCCCTCGGCCTTCGGAATCCTCCATCGAGCATTCTTCTTTCGACTCGACTTCTCCAGCTTCCGTTGGAGAACGCGACGCCAGCTTTCTCTCTCCCTCTCGCGGTAATTGTACGCGTCTTTCGGATTCTTCGCGTAATTTATGCGCGGCTTCCTCCCCCTCCCCCTCCCTACGCTTCTGTCCAAGCACGTCGGAGATGTAAATCGGGGCAGCGGGCGCGTAATTTTGCCGGGATAACGAAGCGCAAACGCGCGGTGTAAATCGCTATTAATACATCGACGTCATCACGTCGCCCGGTCGCCAGTGATTGCGCTTGACACCCGCAATTAATCCGTCGATCTGGCTGCCGGGTTTAATTCTGGCTCTCGATTAGATCACACGAAAATCTCGCCGAGCTCTCCTGCTCCCCCCCCCACTCGCCCCCTCGGATCCCCCGGTAATTCGACGAACTTGCAGCAGGTATCTTTGTCCATTACCAAAATGGATCATAATTACCATTACATCGCGCCATTATTACGCTGCAATTAGTTTACCAATAAGCCCTCTAATATTTACAATACATCATATCGCAGGAGATAATTTTAAACGGCAACGCCAGTAGTTGGGGCTCTATTTGCGCCTATGCTTCACTTTCATATATTAATTTATATGTATCATTCGTTAATTCTTAATGCTTTTCGCGGCCAAGTGTTTCGGCCTTGTCAATAGCACGCTAATCCTTCGGCCTTTGTATCTGTATACGCGTTAAAATGTTATCATCTAGAGTGGCATCAGAGGCAAACACAATGCCGCGGGCTGCTATCGGAGTCCGTCAAGAGGATCAGGAGATTAAGTGCCACTCGGATAATAATTTTAATAACCGGAATGCACTCTCTCTCTGATCGTCATAAGTACTTAGCTCCATCCGGGGAGAACGGATTTTTTACCTTCCGAACCCGGCGTGTTTTTACAATACCGAGTCGCGCTCAGTTATTCCCGGGGGCCGCATTAATATTTCACGACTCAAAAATTACACAAATGCTAAGCCGATATGATTCATCGTGCGTTATATGTAACTTTGCGAGTCTGCCGTTTGAACGAGCGAGCGAAAGAAACGAGAAAGTATGAATGAGTAAAATTATCGGAATAACGGGGATATTAGGGACGTTAATCAATTCTGCGCGAATGAAAGATACACTTTGTTAAACATTTCGTAATCTGGGGCAATAAATTTTAACAATATCAAATAAGTAAAAAGAATGAAATGTTCAATGAATAAAAATAACAATAATCAAGCTTGTCAGTTGACATTAATCGGCCAGTGTTTTTATAAAGAAAATTTATTGCGAAAAATATTACCTCAGCCAGGGTTTGAACCTGGACTTTCCTACTCTCTAGGCGGGCGTCT